TGTGTGTGTGTTTGTGTGGGTGCGGATGCTGGTCTCAGGACTGTGTGTACGAGCTGCGGCTGCTATCTCGTCGCGGGGAGTTGCTGAGCGAGCCCAGTCCATCAGTCAATGTCTCCACCACGGGTAGGTGTTCGAGAGCAACCTTGCCCCCTTCACATTCTCGCCCCACCCTCTGTTTCAGCCCATCCTCCTCCCTCAGTCGCCTTCTCTAACTCTTTTCTCCCTTTCTTATTCCTTCCCATCCCTCTGTTCCCAGCGTTGGTCCAAAATTAGAGCAGGGCCCCAGGGAACGCTGCCCATTAGAAGCCTGAATGATAGAAATAGCTCCACTAATAACTTCTCAAAAGAGTTGGTGATAGAAGTTTTACTGGTCTTTTCTGATTCTTATGTGAATGTGACATTAATTTTTCATTAGATATGGTACAGAGTTATCAAACAGAAGGATCTACAATACCCACTGATGTCACCCAGGGATTGTATATTGTTTAACATAGTGCTGCGGATAATTTCAGTCAGTGACTGAGCAAAACAATCAAGTGTGATTTGCTGATAATGATCATCAGGGACATACTGTTGATTGGAGATTAGATCCACTTGAAACTGGTATACCAAAGCTCATAACAATCTTGTATTATTTTTATGAGCTTTGTTTGCGGTGTAAATTAAGTGTGTTTTGGAACAGACTGACGCAAGTGGCATGAAATATATACATGTATTGAAGGTCAGCCAGTGTGATCGGATGATTGTAAAGCTTTTTTTCTTTCTTTCAAACTAAAAACCAAATTTGAATTTAAATGTATAATTTCAGATAAATATTTTTTAAATAAATTTAAATAAATAAGATAAATTATAATGAGGAATTATGTAAAATACTTTTTACTAGTTTTTGTTTCTATGAAGTGTGTGTTGCTACTAAGGCCATCAAGATTATTTTACTAGTAATTTAATTTTGTTTATGGTCATTGCTGACACTATAGTCACACCTAGCCTGCTTTTATTTTAATTTACTAATATATATATCACTGATGAAACGATGTCACAGGGATGGAGATCTACCCTGCCACATCCCAACTCCTGGAGTTCGTCCCGGAGCCATTACTGGCCGGCGTGCTGGGCGGGGTCGGCTTCATGTGCTTGGCACTGGTCTTGCTGCTGGGGTCCGCCTGTGTCATCAGCCACAAGAGGGACCAGCGCCGCAGAAAGAAGGATGGTAAAAACGTCCCTCACTCCAGAGTCTCAGCAGACACTCACTTTGATGAACTGCATCATGAATATCATCATTTATTCAATAAAATATTGAAGGCACTTTCAATCCATTATATAATTTATAGTCCACTGCATGGATTTGGCGCTCCTCTTGTCCCCTGCTCGTCCATTCAGTTGTAAAAGTTATTGATGTCATTTACATTACTTGCTAATTAGGGTAATTTCTCATTAGTGGCTGATAAATGTAAGTGTAATTAACTTTTTGGACAAGCCTGTGTGCCTCGGGCCCTTTAATGGGCTCTTATTAGGGTTGATTATGTTTTTACTTCTTGGTCAGTGTGGTTGTATCCTAATGAGTCAGATACCATCTTGCCCCTCTCCCTCCCTCCCTCCCTTTCAGCAGAGCCCCCTCATGCCATCTATAAATGCTCCCCATCAATGTAAGTACCCCTTTATCATTTCCTTATAATCCCTCCCATTGACCTTTTCCTCTGCATCACTTACTAACTAAAATATGTTGAAAATGCCAGCACTTTAGTTTATTTTCTATTTTCTATCTTCTCTCCCTTGCTCATCTTCATCTATGGCTGCTGCTGCTGTTTTGGTCTCTATCTGTCTACATTTCTCCCGCCCCCTCTTTCACTCTCACTAAATCTTATTTTCTCTGTCTTATTTTCTCTCCCTCTTACACCTCCGGTTTTTCTTACAATTTTCTTTTTTCACCCCTCCCTCCCTCCCCCTCTATCTTTCTCTCTCTCTCTCTCTCTCTCTCTCTCTCTCACAGAAAGACTTCAGGCACCGGCAGTCCAGACAGTGTGTTGAAGAAAAGCCTACTTCCAGCCAACATCCTCTATCCCACCACTTCCTCTACCAGCACCTCCTCCTCCTCGCAGACAGACTGTTCTTCCTTTAGCACTGAGAATCGTCACCAGCGGAAGCATCTATTATCCAACTACAGCAGAGGCCGCCTTACTAGGACAACTTCTTCTCCGATATCTCCTCCAATTGAGTTGATCTCTAGAGGTCCAGATGGGCGCTTTATGCTCCCACCGTATGACAGTGATGCACTGAGTGTAGACAGCAAGAGAAGCATAAGGTATGGCCGACCTGCCAGAGTGCGAAGGTCCGTGTCCCTGCACTCGGAGAGGGAAGACAGGAAAGACCCACCGTTTGTGCTCTCTGTTGATCTCCTACCTTGCAAACCAGCAGAAGCTAATTCCACACGCCAAATGTATGGCCTGCCCCATCACGGCGCTTATATCTCCGATCAGAAGGTGAGCTATGATGGCTCTCCTGACCTCAGCAGCATGTGCTCAAGCAGTAGTTTGGCCACCATTCCTCATCAAGACAGAGAAATAACTCTCACATTTCCAGTGCTCCCACATATCCGATCAAGCCTAGGTCAGCCGTCTACGACCGCCAGCACTCTGGTGCTCCAAATGGAGCACGAGCGGGAGAGGGGAAACCTGAGTCACTGCCTGAAACTGGCTCAGGAGAGGGAGGAGCTGGAGAGGGAGCTCAAGAGGTACACTCTGGAAAGAAGCTCCATGAGAGAGATGAGGAGGGAGCATTCAGACTTGGAGAGGAGAGAGGCCGGTGGTTGTGAGCTCTTGTGGGAATATAAGAGCAGCACCTTGCCGCACAGATACCCCCAGGGCAAAAAGGAGAGATTTGGTCTGTCACTGAGCCCTTTCTCCTCATCCTCTGTGCATTGGGAAGGCCCTCCTCTTGTCTCTCCTCCCGCTCTGATCCCAACCCTCACCCGTGTTAATGCGTCTTCACCTGCGAGTCCCTATTGTTTTAAGTCTGGCAACCATCATCCTGGTCCATCATTCACCCATCAGACCTCCCTCCAATCTAAGGAGGCAGGCAGTTTTTCCAAAGACAGATTAACTCTCCCACATCTCTCCTCAAAGCACCAGAGACATGAAAGGGTAGAGGCAGCACCAGAGGGCTATGATAATTCACCACAATCCACACTCTTAGAAATGCAAACGAGTGATTCGTGCTCTGAGGCACCGAGACAGAACAATCTTAGTCATGGCAGCCTTTCAATGTTGTCTTTCCACAGCAATAAATATACTGAAAGATCTAATTCGGCTCTCAATGCGTTGCCAGACTCTTCAAAAGTGGAGGTAGCATTCCCCAAGCCCGCTGATGAAGTAGTGTGCGTGGAGATGAGTGTGGATGAGCCAGAGTTGGAGGTATGTGTAATGCGACCTACAAAGCCCATGCTGCACCACAGAATCGCCTCTCATGTGCAAAAAGGGCACTCGCTGACTCACAGAGGCCGGTATGAAGACATGAGTAATAGCACAAGCTTTAACTGGCGCAGTCCTGCCTCTGTGGATGATATTATCAGGGTCCCCGCTTCCTCGCAACCTTCACAACCAGAGCTCTGGAGAGCTGTGACCCAGCGCTCTAAAAGCTGGGACTCTAAGCAGCGAAGTCAGAGCCTTGACTCAAAGAGACGGAAAGAGAGCAATTTCCTGACCCCGGATGCGTGGATAGACTCCCTCAGCCAAGAGAACTGCTCTGTTGCATCTTCCTGTCGTCCAGATTCTTTGTTCTGGGAACCCCAAACCTCTCCCACCAGGAAGGTCTCCAAATCTCATGCAAATTCTCCTTCTGCCACCCAAGCTGCCTCCCGTTCCCCTCCTGCTGTGGATTCTTTATCTCCAAGGAGCAGTCCAGAGAGACCCACACCAAATCCTGACGTGCCTTGCCACTACGAGCCAAGAAGAGAGGCATCCATCTTTCCAAATGCTGCCAAATGGCCAATCGCCTATCAGCAGGCCGTGGAAGAGGCAGAAGGTTCCTTGGAGGCCATGAAGGAAGCTTCCAGATGTTTACTGCCAGGAGACAATGATCAAGATGCACTGGAAGTGGAGGCAGGAGGCTATGAGGGAGTGCCAGAGTCCGGAAGCAGCTACAACAGTTATGCCAGCAGCGGCCGAGGCAGCATGGAGCCCGCTAACAGACGCCTGTCCCTGTGTCACCTTTCCCCAACCCTCACCAGCTCACCCGAGACTGTAGAGGAGAGCCAGGGGAGCACAGAGGACAAGCACAGTCACCAAATGGAACCAAGCCAAAGGTATTAAGGACATAATGAATGAGGGAAATTATGTTTTACTATATACTATTACTAAGTGCATTTTTACATCATGTTGTGATTGGAGATACAGTGTCAAAACTATATAAAAAGCTATTTATCTGTTTGAATAGCTCAACAAACATTTCACAAGTGTTTCATACCTCTGAGAATTATGGAGAATGCTGTGTAAATGAACAAACATATAGTAAAATAAGATGTCATGGTATGTTAGAAGAAAAAATATCCAACATGACACAAAGAATCTTCTCAGCTTAAACTGTGAAGCAAACATGAAAAGGTTTGACTAGAAGAAAAAAGCAAATAGTACCTTTTTGACGGAAGAACTCTGACTCAGTGTATATTTTATTGGGAGTGCTTTGCCGTTTGTAGACACTGATGAGTGTGCATATGTGTGCATTAAACGTTCAAACTGTGTTTATATACTAAGTGGTGTTTTGTGACCTCCCCAGGAGAAAGGTCTCGGTTGATGAGAATTATGAGTGGGATGCTGCTGATTTCTGCTCACAGCCTGTAGACCATGATGGTGAGGATTTTTCTTTTCTTACCAATGTGCACTTCACGTTTTGGCACAAACACTGGTTGAAAAAAATAGATGCATTTGTCTGTTTAGAATCATTAATCAATATAGTACAATGCTGTAGCAAAATAAAATGATGGAATGACGGTATCTTCCGTTATGGTTGAGGAACTAATTTTAGAGAATGATTCATCTGGTCGAAATGCAGGTAAATGTTGGTAGGAAACAAGTTCCTGCATGTTTGGAATTGAATGTACACTTTTTGATTTGTCTGCTGATATATAGTATAGCTGTTCTGTATTTACTATTAAACTTGATATGACTAATTTGTAGAGCAGTGTTCTCTACTGGCTCGAATGTGCATTCGAACCAATGTGCTTGATGATTTATATTTTAATCTATTCTACTGATTGTATTTTATTTTTAGACACAGACTTTATTTCAGTGGCTTGCTGTGGCAGTGTGACATGTGTGGTATTGAGCAACATTTAACAAGACCATTACTGGAACACTTTTATCTGATCAAGGTGACATTTGTAACAATATTTTCAGGAATCCTCAGAGAAAGGTCAGCCATGTTTTCACTCTTTGGCTCCTCTGAATTAACTCTCAAGCTAACCTGAATTTGCTCTCAGGTTAAGGGTTGGATATTAAATATTAGCTTTAAAGTGGTTTATATCTGGGGGAGTTCCAGATGGATGGGACAGAACCAACGGGGTGCAGACATTTAATGAAATAACATCTGCACTAAAATATCAGCAAACTCAAAAATAATTTCACGTCTCTTTTTTTTTACCCACAGGCCTGCTTCCTTCATTGAATCTACTGAAACCTGCTCGGTGCTTTAGCCTTCCCAGCATGCAACGCCCTACTAAGGCACTGAAAAATTGCACTCAGCTCTCTTTGCTCTCGGGGCATCAAAGCAGCTGCTCTGCTGAGCCAGAACCAGACACCGTGCTGTTCTGACAGTGCCAGCCTTCGGCTCATCTCACCTGGTGTGTCCTTTCACTTATTGACTGGCATCACAAGGCGACAAAAAGTGTATCTGGCAGAGAGAGAGCTTTTGTCTGATCAATTCAATTCCCTCTATCAAACCAAAAAAAAAAGGCCAAAGTACAGAATAGCCTTTTTGGTCTTGCTTGATCTCTTTGTTAAAACTTTACTCGGTTTTCAACAATACAGGTTCTCAGTTAAAGTAACCGAGACACAAAGTCACCTTTACCACTATGCAGAGCTTTAAAAGTTTGTTTTGCTTTGTGACCATCATGCTCTTGACATTTTTGGCCAATCTGCACATATCAAAGCATTTCACTGTGATCATGCATCCACCACGTTCTCTATGTGTAGTTTGATAAGCATTCATCACCCAGGGATGAGTTAGTGGTCACACAAGGCACAAAACGATCTCAGTCATAATCAAGTGACTGGTTTACGCTGGGGATGAATAAGTTTTTAGATATCATCAATCACCTTTGAGTTTAACAAAAGAGGTGTTTATGAAATGTCAACAAATAAGGAAGATGAATATAATATATAAGGTGATTCTGCTCCACTTTTACGGTTCTGCTTTAGTTTAACACTGTTTCTAAAAGCGTCATTTCCCAGTAGAGATCATTATCTGCTTTTTTGCCCTTAAAATACTGAGTAGATTTTTGGATACCAAAAATTCAGTCATTCAGGATTAAAAGCCTTGGTTTTCTCCCCAGCCCGTCTGCTTGTTCACCAAAGCAAGACTTGTAATTATGTTCGGTAATTGAAGAGGGTCCAGTCAACTTGGTTTGTCCTTGTTTATTTTTTATATGGACATAAATGGAGATTAGCTTTTATTTTTACTTTAATTTACCAAGGGTCAATTCACTGAATGATGACAGCTTTTTTTTATCCCAATAACACCTGCTCCATGCTCACACAGTTATTCACATTGACACTTGGGAGCCAACAGTGGTGCTGATAAGCCCCACCAGTTGATTGGTTTAACGCCTTGTTTGAGGGCATGTCAACAGCAGGTAATGAACACATCCTCGCAGGGCTGGGCGATAATTAACCATTATTGTTTATAGACTTACAATCAAAGTGCATAGTAATGCTGTCGTTTTATGAAATGCTGCAGTCCAAATTAAGAGTTAAAAGCAGATTGAAAATTAACAAAATTAGCTATTGAAGTTTTTATATTATGAGTGCTCAGTCAAATCAGTACTTATAACAGCAAAGTTTCAGACCCAAGGTCAGTCATTTTAGTGGTATCCAGATGTTCAGAGTCAATTCATTCATTCATTCAAAGTCAATTTGTGTGGCTTTTGATATGGTACTCTTGTTACAGTATAAATGGGAGTTATTGTAATTATGTTTCCAACATGTAAAAAGTGTTCCTGTCAACAAGTTGTAATTATGACTGGAAGTAATCTGAAACTTCTGTTATATCCAACTAGGTGTTAAATAAGATGGAGGTTCCTGATTGTGTGACATGTGTTGCTAACTATTATCAGTGGAAAGTAGCTAAAGCCTGTTCAAAAAGTTCCAGATGTGTCGCTAGATAGCATCATGTGCTCATTTGCATATCTGATATAACGTCATTATGTAACCATTTACTTATCTACAAGACATAGTTTTAAAAAAAATAAGTCAAGCTACACTTTACTGACTAACTAACTTCATCATTAGCTATTATTATTTTCCAAGCTGCTATCATCAATATCTCAATATGAACCTAAATCTGCCTCTACTTTGAAAAGCTTTTTATGTAGGCTGTTGTATAGACTGAGGGTCGTTAGTAGAGAGGATCCAGACACTGGAATAAACACACTCCTGTACACTCTGTATTTTTACAGAAAATAAAACCTAAATATGTACCTATGTGTAAGTACATCCCACCCCTGCTTCCAGCATGACCTGTTTGGCAAGTAAGCACAAATTAATTTTTCTAGTGTGACAGTGGAACACAGTTCACTGCATCCAATGTCAATTTGATTATTTTAGATGTGGTCTATATCCTGTATTGTAATGAATATTGATATACTCTAAAAGCACCAATTTCACTAAGATCTACTTCACAATGTAGATTCCTGTTAGTTCTGGGGGATCAAACAAGCAACCTTCCAGGCACACCACCTGCCAGCACTGCCCTAAACCTGCTAAGAGAAAATGCCCATGCCTCATGCTCTCTTTTCTTTGTGAACAATCGAGGAAAAAGGAAAATTGGGACTTTGCTTGCTGCTCTAGCTCAAGGCCTTCACATTAGTCAACCAAATAATTAACTGAGAACTCCACAGTGTACCAGAGCATTGTGGGGTATCCATCCTATAATTGAAATTCACTCATAGAAGCTGCATTAACTGCAAATCAATGTTTCACTTCTGTAGAACATTTTCATTTTCTGGTGTACACATATTGTACCTCAAGTCCATAAATGATCAAACCCTATGTGCTGCTCTGGGGATTTGTAGTCAGCACTACTTTTTTGCCTACGTTTTTGAAATTGAATCCAAATATTGTGCTTCCAATACATCAAACAGGGAAAAGTATGTGGAGAAATATTTTACATTGAGCCATGGCGGAATCATACAGGAACTACTGTATTGTTGTATGATGAGTGCTTTGGAGGATTTAAACATGAAATGTTGTTGCAGAAATTGTATAGAAGAGACTACTGGCCAATAGTATGTATGTGGATAAACAGTACTTCAGAATACAGCCGAGTGTAACATCATAAAGAGACGTGGACAACAGCGAGGGCTCATAAAGCGGATTGTTATACTGCTACCTTTTTTCAGTTATTGTGTGTACTTAGAGGGATTAGCTTTAAAGCAAGCACTCTTTTATTATGTCCATTAAGCAGTGAATGAATTATTTGGAAATGCCAGGAAGTAACTCTTGAAGCTAGAAACCAATCAAGGTCTTATGAAATTAAATGTCAAAAACAAATTGAAGTGTAACCAAATGAAGCTTGTGTTACCCCAATACAGTTCAAACCTCGCCATAATTAGTGAGTAATTCGTGTCTCTCGAGTAAATGTCAATATACTAGAAACGTTAAAATCCCAAACAAACCCAGAATGCATTCTCTGTGTTTTAATCACTGTGATTCTAGCATTTTTCCAAATACTGGAAAAATCTTTTTTTAAACCACCAAAATGATAAAATTATTTCCATTCACATTCTAGTGTATCTCCCAACTTTTGGCATTTCCAAGTTGTCTTTTCCTCTGCAAGAAGAGGGAACTGAAAATCCTGCTGATTATGAGCCAGACTCTAAGTGACTGAAAAAAACTGTTAAAGATCAGAAAGTTTGACTTGCTAAGTGGATTTTATTAGTCCAAATGTCACCTGCATTCTTGTGTTTTTAAAAATAAATACGATTTTCAAACAATTTTGAAAATTTAAAACACTGATAACTCATAGATTAAATCCGCTGAAAACAAATCTTAGAAAAGGTCCAGTGTGTAACATTACATACATTACACATTATAACATCGGTTTTCATAAGTGAATACAGGAATCATTGTGTTTTTGTTACAGTAGCCCAAAAGGGATGAACCAAACACTGTCTCTAAATAGGGGCGTTCATGTTTTGCATGTTTCACAGCCACTGTAGTTTCTCCTCCGTGCTTAAAAGAGGAGTGTGAAGTGACGGAGTTGCGATCTGCAACTACACCGCTAGATGCCACTAAATCCTACACAGTAGACCTTAAGTATTTCTCGATGAAATATTCATAAATATTCATGACTAAAAATGAAACAATGAAGTTAAAAAAAACCCTTCTGTTATTATCATTATTGTAAGTTATTATCTGTTAAGAGTTGAACTCTTAATAACACTCATCAGGTGTGTGTTTGATTAGATTTCACTGACAGTGAAAAAAAGCCCAGTCACAACCACCAACCGTCATCAGATTCTGGTGTACAGAAGGATGATTAACCAACTCCCATCTAACCGAGTCCCATCTTTTTCAAACCAGTGAGAAGAGTACAGAGAAAAGCAGTAGAATAATGAAAATTTTGGTAATTTGGCTCCCAATAAGACGCTGATGAGAAAATAGGTTTTCAAGCCCTTTAAAGAGGATTGACAAAAGTTATTTTTGCGCTGTGCACATAATTTATAATAATATTATGCGTAAAAACTGCCTTTTCTGCTCAAAATTTTGGTTTTGCAAGCAGAATCAAAATGTCTTATGTGGTTTATAGCGTTCTCCTGTTCAATAACAATGTAGGTGGTCAAAAAGCCGACCAGGATCAACATGTCCTTTTGGTAAAATTAAGAAATTTCTTCTTTATTATTATTGTAGTATTTCAAGTTTCTGTTTTATTGAATTTGTCAGATCTAACTTAACAAGTACATTTTGTTTTTTTTATAAATTTTGTAGCTGAAAGCAAAGTGCTTGTCAAAGCGTCAGGGATAGTTACTCCACTCTCCTCACCCTGCTCCATTTACACATTGTAAACCAGAGAAGCAATCTGTGATGGTGTACAGATATAAAGCTTGATTCTGCTCTTTTGACACTGAGTGGGCAGCTGACTTCATTGACTGATAAAATACTTGTCTTACATCTAAACCAGCTTCCAATCAAACTAATGGTATTAGTACTGCAGCACCAGACAACCCCCAACCCAAGAAAATGATCGGAGGTAATGTCACAGTCATCTTTTTTAATGCTCTGCAATTCCATTTATTTAGACTTTTATATCACTTTGACATGAGAGATTACAGGGTGGGACAAACACATATTTCTTGTCTGCGGCTGAGCAGCAGAGTTTTCACAATGCTGAGAGTAAACAAAGAAAGCAGTAATGAGCGTGTGCAAGTGCAGCCTGGGCATGGGTATTTCAACAGCTTATTTCAAAGGCGAACACTCATAGCATTCACACGACAAAACAGCAATTCATACTGACAGGTAACATTTTTTGTTTTCCAGTGAACGTACATGGTTTGAATTTAACAGCTGTATATTCACTGGCATTCAGGCCTTTTTTCTTTAGCTGTCAACCACAACTGACTGGCTGTTTGTGAAGAGAGATTTTACATTGAAGACGTTTCAATTTATCCTGTTTCCTTTACTGAGCCTTTCTATAAGTGACACAATGACGGCTTTATATGAGCTTTATATAGAGAAGGTGCATACAACTAGAGGTATAATACTATATGTGGTCTGTAAGCTGATGGTTTAAAGTCATCAGTTATAAGTTTATTTAATTGCCTTTGTTCATGGAGCAGGCTATGTACTGTATGTAGTCCAGTATGCTTAACACAAACTTGTGACTATTGAAGTTTTAATGCATAACATTTCTGTCCTGGTTAATTTAGTGACATATGTGGTTACTGTGGTAACAGCAAGTGCAGTTACAGAATGGAATCTTCCTAAGTCCCGCCTCATTTTGCTCTCTGCTGCAATAAGAGTTGAGCAAGCCTCGGTCAACCTTCTCATTTCCCATGTACATATTAAGTTAGCTAATGTTAGCAAAATGCTAGCTAGCTAATCTACATAAGTTATTAGACAAATAAGATCGGTGGCTAGTTAGCTAGCATTTTGCTTACATTAGCTAACCAATGACGTGAATATAGCCTATGTATCTCGCTTTTATCTTTTAATCATCTTTTAAAGTTTCTACATTTTCTAGATAGACGAGCCTAGCGGATAGCATAAGTGCAGGAAAGGAGAAAGCTTACTGTGGTTTCAAAAGGGACTTATGAAAGACACACACTCCAAAGGTCTTTGTTGGAAATAGTTGATACGGCTGTAGTGAGTGAACAGTAAACTGTGAGGTTTATATCCATTATTTAAAATGAAAAAATAGCAATACTGGATTACATACATGTATTATTTCCTGTGAATGGTTCATGCATGTGAAAGCAATTCAAATGGTGGACTCCGCCACTAACAATCAAAACCAATTAATTAGAGAGGAAATAACAAAATCTAAAAACATTCAATGGCTTTTACTAAAACAATTCTTACTCTAAATGGTATCAAAAACAGTTTTATTTCACAAAAATCTGAAGGATTATAACTTCAGGAAAAGTTCAGAAAGTCATGTTGTTTTAAGTCATTTGAAGTCAAACTCTCCTAGAATGTAAATTTGTTCCATTATCTTAAGTCATTCGCTCATGACCACCTGAAAGCACGATTACTGACAGAAGTGTTCTTCAGTCGTTTCACCTTGAGGCCAAAGCATGCGCTCACTTAAAAACTGACAATCTGTACTTTTCTATTCAATAGAAACTTGGTGTGACAAGCAAGTTAGATGAATTTACAACTCTCGTTCATTCAGCTAAAACTCAGAAATTAGTCACAATGAAAATCCACACTCATTTAATTATGACTCCTGCTGTGACCAACAGGAAATTGACAGAAATTGCAATAGTGAATCAGATAAGTTATTTAACAAGCAGAAAGGCCAAATTCACACCTTATCAAATATTAGGATTTTCTGGTTTGGTACTGTTGAGTAAAACAAACAATCCTATATGGGGGTGTTTTTCACTGTGTTTCTATACTATATTCAAGCTTTAACATTCTACTGAAAGAAAATGTTGATAGATTTTGGTCATTAAATTATGAATTGCAGCTCCAACTGTCCGTTTATGAGAGATTTAGGATCTCTAACAAAGACTGAAAAAAAGCAAAAAAACCCAAATTGCTACACTGTGGGATGCATGAAACATCACATTGTGAGGGCTTACTACAACATAGAAAATGTAATACATGAAATGCGCATGATCGGTGTCAAGCTGCAGTGCAGTGACATATTTATATTGTGTTCCACTGTGATAAGGGCGTTTATGTTTCATTTAACCTTGCAGACATAATTATTTTTCTGTTTTTTCCATCGTCAAGTGGACTGCAGCAGGTATTTTATTTTGCATGACAGAAAGAATGAGGATGGCAATTAGTGCTTGTTGCCGAGGATAAGCTGCGACTATTATCTCCTGCCAAGTGTAAAATTAGTGCGATTATCAGCAATATTACCACAGAAATATGGTCGGACGTGGATAATTTAAAGATTGAAACCTAAATGGGAGTTTTTCAATCAGTCTATCTGCACATCCAGCATTCAGTCTGAGAGGCGAGAATTCACAACATGTCAGCGAAGTTAATTACCTCACCGAAAGCCTCCCAGCAGAGTGTAGAATAATAGCATCAGGGAGAGAATGACTTTTCTTCTGTTGTATTGGTTTTATAGTGCAGCAAAATCTTTCTTAACCCCTATTTCACTTTAATTAGGTGTTTGCCCAAGAGACGTACTTTTTGAAAAACATCTGTGTTCTTGTTATCCCAAGGGCAAAAACCTTGCAGTAAGTGTTTCTTATTCTCTCATTGATTACAGAACGTGTTCATCCAGCATTGATGACCTTATTATAATTGATGGTTTAGTGTGTCCATGAGAATACACTTGCAACAAACACAATTGAACCCAATTTCTCATAACGCCTGTTGACATTGTGCAGCACTTTTGAGGTTTTTTCTTTTTGAGCAATGTATTTGACTGATTTCAAACAGCTCTATTTTCATTAATTAATTAAAGGTAAAACCTTTAAGCTATGGAAAGGGAGACTCATTATTAAAAACATAATGACATATACAGATTAATATTATTAAAATCAAATATATATTTGTGTGTATTGTTGTGTACTGCTTTTGTAAATTAATTTACTTTGTTCTCACTGTTTTTTCAGTTTTTAATTAGTTTTTGTGAACTTTCTCAAACTTGCAGCCAAGGTTGCAATAATGTTTACAACAATGACAATATAATGACACAGAAGAGCACATCAAGATGGAAACATATGTCAATTATCTTGCATGTTTTGTCATTAGTAGTGAGGAATTATAGTTTTAAAATACTGTCTTACTTTTGTCATGTTTTTTTAACATAAAGTTATGTTTTTTAATGTCACATTTATAGATTTTTTTTTTAATTGAAAGAGAACTGTACATGTATTAGGTTTTGTGTTTTTGTGTGTCATGTAAAACTTCAGACAGTTGTTGAATAAAAACTGCTTATATGCAATCCCTGAATCAGGGTTTCCATTGTTTCAAATAAAGATGCATCATTGTAAAATGTTTCAATAATTCATGTACAGTGAAATAAGCTTCTTTGCATATCTGTAAACTCCATTGGTCTTTCACTGCCTCTTCAAACTTATAATCTATTTTTCCTATGTAAATCATAGTTTAAAGCGAAACAGGGCAGCACTGTATGCAATTCATTTTTCTATTAATAAATAAACCTGAACCGTTTTTATCTTGCCCAGCCTCACATTTTTCAACTTTGGTTACTTACAGGTTCTTTACATTACACTGTTTATCAGACACTGGAATAAAAGGTGTTCACAAACATCGATTGGCCTCTCCCACACCAGAGAAGTAACGTGAATACTTAAACTGATTGGTATTCCCCTAGCTGATTTTGAGTGTTTTGCATACACAAATACTTTCAAAATCAATGGAACTTTGTTGATCCAAACGCTTTGAAAAATGGGGCTATTTTGGAAAACCTAGGTGCTCACTGGCATATAAAATTAATCACCAAAGTTTATTTTCAAACTGTATAACAAATTAGATGTACACGGCGAGAAACTGTAGCCTTCAGTTGGCGCTGGATGGTTTTAAAGATTATGCTTTTCATTTTTGTTGGCTTCAGATGACACAGCTCCTTTTCATCACATTTGGGTAGAGATCGTGACGGGGCGTGATTATCATGGATCACTATTGGAGATGGACTGAATTCAATTTAAAGTAGTTTAACCAAGTCAGCAGCTAAGCACTTCTTACTGGCATATTAAAAATATATGCTCGGTTCTTATTGGATGAGACGTTCAGAGCCTATTAAAGCCAGTAAACACACAACACCCCCTCACACAACACACACACACACACACACACACACACACACACACACACAACACCACACCACACACAGCACACAACACACACACACACACTCATAACCACTTTTCATTTAAATAGCAATAATGCTCTAAGTGACAAGCACCATTTATATTAACACTTGGCATAAATGTTATATGGCAACTCTATAGCTCCACAAACTAAAAAGGCTTTGAGGATTAGTGAAATATAACCATCATTACTACTTTTAGCATGATTACTGACTTTTTTCCATTACAGTGATGCATAATAAGCCTCTCCAGGCAGTGCTCATCAGTTACTGTGCTTTATGTGGTGCCTCACAAAACGTCTTTGTTGTTCAAAATCACTGTGAAGCTCTCTTGGTCTATGAAGTAATTCAAAAATTGAAAAGGCAAATTATGAAAAGGGTTATTTAGCCTGTAATTTTCACATCATGAATTTGAAGTTATACGTTTCTAACATGGACCACCCTCCAGCAGACAACCACACGCCACAAATAAAATGTAAAAAAGCAAAGAAAGACCAAATTTGAATGCTCATAAATACCTGTACTACCAGGGAAGTTGAGGAGGCATTTTCACACTTCCTCAATAATTACAGCAGGCAAACAGGCAAATGGGTCTGTTTAATTATAGCACTGTCAGACCATAATACAGGAGAACAGCAAGGGGAACTGACTGCTGTTTCTCCTTCAAACAGAATACTTCACCGAAGGTAACTAATCCTAATAATAACTATAAATTATTTACTCATTTTTGTCTTAATGGCTTTGTGGTAGTGATAGTACGACGTTGCTTTTCCAGTGTAGTTACAGAAAAAATGCCTGCAGTAGTTGGCTGACTAACGGCATCATGATCAATTGAACCAACTGAACCAGGTCCATTCCAGTCTGGGCCAGTTCGGGTTGACTTTCAGGAGATAAAATCTTACATCCTCTGTTGTTTAAGGATGTGATAATTTCCCTTCTGATCTAGTCACTGTCATTCTCATTAAAATTGTTTGAAAAATGTTTGGAATTGAGGCCAATATCTTCACAGGTGTTGATAGGATCATTAATAATACTTAAAACTGTCATCCAGGCTTCAGTGCAGAACCCACAGCTCAGCAGAAGTTCACCATGTGTTTACAAATTCACTGACCTTTAAACATACTGTAATAAGTTTTGAACTGTTTATGAAACAATCTCAATTTATTACTAATGCCTCGATATGACCTTCAAACAAACAAGATCATCAGCGAGAAGATTGGCTATTTCTATATAGTTATTCTTAATGCCTGTCACCTAGGTCGGACAGGTTCATACAGTTTGTGCTCAAAATCAATGAAACGAGGCGGTGAAAAAACTACCGCGTTTGTCCACAAGGGCTGCCAGAATCAACACAAAATGAGTCAAAAGTCTTCTTTATGTTGCCTCTCTATCCAACCCAAGTGTTAACCTATCACGACGCCACCCATTGGTTTGTGGAGCACTGTTCTGAAGCATCAAGTTTGGCGTGTTGGCCGTCACCATGACAGTTAGACGGAGCCAGCGGAGGTGACGTACTGCGAGTTGAGCTGCACTCATTGGCTGTGCAGTTACGACTCGTCCGTAGCAGGAAACAGTGGCAGCTCACCTGGTAACACAAAATGTTGTATACCAGCTAAACAGTACACTAAATAATAAATACATTTTGTAGTAAAGATATTGTTTTATTAATATAATAAGGAACAATATTCCTGAAGGTATCTGCAAAGGTTTTACTGTCATACTGTACTTTATTTGTCCGCTAACTGGTGACTAAATCACGATCAATATTTTTAGCCATGCTAGTGGCATGTCGCTATGGATTGAAATTTTGGTTTCTATGTCACCACTTTGGTCCAGAGTGAAACATCTCAACAAATATTTGTATTGTCATGTCTTCTGTGGGATGAATTTTAATTTAACCCTTTGACTTTTCCTCTAGTGCCACCATGAGGTTGACATTTGTTTTCGTTTTGAGGGAAACAACCATTGGATGCAATTTGGTACAGAAAGGAAGAATTGTACAAATGTTGGTGATGCTTTTCCCAATTTTTTTGGCCATTTGTTTGCATTGGAAACAAGTTGTGAACACAAAATTGATATATATAAATTTTTTAAGTTGACATGGTGAACTTGTTAGCAAACAGTTGCTTATTTCCATTTACAGAGGAAGATTATAATTTATTTGGAGTCAGGCAGTGTTTGCAATAGTCCAATATTCAGTCTCTTTTAGCTCTGCTTTGGTTTCCAACAACTCCTGAAGCAAACATCTGGTTTAGTAGTTATCTAAATACATTTACTTGAGTATTTCCATTCTATGCAAATGTGTACTTTTAAATAACTTACATACGTTTGTATGTACATTGTTTTTCTGAATTCATGAAAAGCTGACTTTTTAGAGATATATGGTTCTCACAGGACATAAATGAAAAGTAAAGGAGTTTAAATTAGTACAACCTTACATCTACAGCAGTAAAATGCAACATTAATGCTCCAGTAACATTAATCCAAAAACACAATATATAATACATTATAAAACACTGACAGGGAGCATTTTTCTGCATGAGTACCTTTACTTTTCATACTTTAAAAAGGTCCAGTGTGTAACATTTAGATCTATTGACAGAAATGTAATATGTTTCCATTAGTGTATAATCACTATATAATACTGTATAATACTATAATCACAAAATAAAAATCATTGTGTTTTAGTTTCCTTAGAATGAGCTGTTTTCATCTAGAGGCTACCATGTTGAACCGTTTCTACAGTAGCCCAGAAAAGGCAAACCAAACCCTGGCCTTTCGCATTTTTTCATACATTTTGCAGCCACTGTAGTTTCTCCTATATGTTTGGAATGCTGAGCTGTATTCAAATGGTGGCAATGCATTGGTCCTTTAAATGCATTTAGCTGATAATACTTTATCAGCACTACTACTATCTTTCAATTTAAGTAAGGTTTTGAATGCAGGCCTTTTACTTGTGGAGTATTTTCACAGTGTGGTTTTGCTACTTTTACTTAAGTATAGGATCTGAATGCTCCAGCACTGTGAGTTGGTAAATGCTTCTCTATGTAAGTATGTCTAAGTGTGTCTGTCTGCTGAATTTGTTAGAGGTTTTGCCTTTTTCTTTTGAAATACTGGATACTTTCACCTTTTTGGGAGCCTTTGAAAATACACCCCTTGGTTAAACTTGGTTGAACCCATCTCCACACTAAGGCATTAAGGCAGTATTTCATTTTAAGGGGTTAAAAAGGTAGGGAATGACTGCCTGAATGACTGTCTTTTTTTAGCAACACACAAAACACAGGTCACACATACCGCTATCCAGTGCATGTCCAACCAGCTACACCGACCTCCTCCTTTTGACCGCTTTGCACTTTAAAGCTTAAACATGTTGCTTTTCCTCAGCTTGTTTGTTATTTCTGTCCATATTTCAGTAAATTCACTTTTAATTAATTATCAAAAGTTAATTATTTAATAAATTAACATAGCAGGCTTTGATGATATCTGTTTCTGTGCACTTGAGTATTTCGTCAACATGTGCTCTCAAGACTAAAATAAAATCTGTATGGTGGAAATAAATATAACATATGAGGGGTGTTTGGTATTCACAGATTGCAATAATCCTCAGGTCTGTTCCCAGCTTAAAGTGTTACTGTGATCCTTTGTGACTTGTCACTCCCATGACAGGTTGCCCTCAATCAGATGAGATGGAAGCTGCCTGCAGCTGTTCATTTCATTCGGAGCAGCTGCACAACATCACATGTCCACACAATATCCATATTACACCTGTTGATTCGCTGTCTTCCAGATCCCTCAAAATGCTGCCGACAGCAGATGAGGACCATGAGTGAAGAGATTGTCCTTGACATGTCATATGACATTGCCTGTGATATCCACACTGTGTAATGAAATAGAATTTTTGGGTTGCTACTGGCTTTATACAAAACAGCACACCTATACTTTCCACAGACAAAACACTTCAAAGATAAGAATGGCAGATTTAAACTAAGCAATGCCAATGTGACAGAAAAATAGAAGCACTGTGCTGTCAGCGGGAGCTGTCATAAAGACACTAACAACAAGCCAAACGTCCTGTAGGACTGCACAAAGGCACAGCTTGCTTGTTGCCTCACACTTTATAATTGCTAGTCTAGGGATGAAAATGCATCATAACCTAACATTTTCGATGATTTCAGTTTTGTTCATTTTGTTAATGCTTAGCCTAAAGCCTGGAGTATACTCTATGATGATTACAATGTAAATTGTCTGTTTTCACCTGCAAATACAGCTGCCAATAGGCTATTTTACACAATGAATGTTCACTGTTTCAGGCAAATGGATTATTC